TTAATGTGCAAATTAGCTGGATAGTAGATTTTTTTTTTTTAACTATGGTCATATTTGTGAAATGTTAGATAACAAAATAAACTCTAAGTGAGAAGTGCGTGTGGTTTTATTTTGTATTTTCCTTATTAGAAAACACAAGGGAGCGTCAAGAAGTTCCCGGACAAATGGCATGCGAAGATAGTGGAATTTCCCCACAAACTTTGAAGCTGTCTTGTAGATCTCATTTTCCTACTTTTGCAAGGGGAAGATGTGGCAGTCTGCTTCCATCAGGATTCCTAGCCTTGGAACGCCGGTTGGGCCATCCAACCTGGTCCTTTTGGGTTACCATGAGTCAGAACCGACTTGCTGTCAGGGGGTTGGTTTGCTGGGGGGGTGGTTCCTATTTTTGGAAGCCACGTATAAACAGCCTTATATCCTTTGTCTATTTCTCTCTTGGGTTATCCGTCTTTTTCTTACTGATCTGCATGTGTTCTTTGTATATTAAGGAAGCTTGCCCTCTGGCTGTGATGTTATAAATGTTTCCCTTTTTGTCTTTATCTTTTGACTATAGGTCTTTCCATGCAGAGTTTGATCTTTTTTTCTTTTTTTTTTGAATAGGCACTTTTGGTGAAATAGATATATGGTGTGTGTGTGTGTGTGTGTGTGTATATATATATCAGAACATTGGCTATTTCAATACCTGTCTACATGTACAACTCAGGGACATTAATTAAGTTAATCATAGTCTACATCCATCACTACTCTCCACTTCTCAAGTTTCCTGCCACCCTTCACTGCAGCTCAGTGCCTCCTAAGAAATGCCTCCTTCCCTTTCTCTCCCTCACACCCCTCGTAAGCACTCACCAACTCTGGGCTGTATACATTAAGGAACCATGGTGGCTCTGTCAGGTAAGCATTGGACTGATAACTGCAAGGTCGCCAGTTCAAACCCACCAGTTGTACTGTGGGGGAAAGAGGAGGCTTTCTGCACCCATAAAGATTTACAGGAACCTTAGCCACCCTATATAGCAGTGGTTCTCAACCTTCCTAATGCCTCGACCCTTTAATACAGCTCCTCATGTTGTGGTGACCCCCAGTCATAAAATTATTTTCATTGCTACTTCATAACTATAATTTTATTACTGTTGTAAATTGAAATGTAAATATCTGATATGCAGAATGTATTTTCATTGTTACAAATGTAACATAATTAAACATAATTAAAACAGTGATCAATCACAAAACAATATGTAATTATATATTGTGAAATATTTGTGTGTTTTCCAATGGTCTTAGGTGACCCCTGTGAAAGGGTCGTTCGACCCCCAGGTTGAGAACTGTTGTTATATAGGAATCGTTATGAGTCAGGATCAATTTAACAGCAGTGGGTCTATATACATTTGCCAGATTCTAGATATTTTAAGAATTTGGAACATTGTCCTACATGAGGGTATACCATTGTATGTATATGTTCCTTACATTGTATGAATAGACTTATTTCACCCATGTCTTGGCCAAAAGTTGTCTTTTTTGTTTTCGCTTCTGCTAATCTGATAGGTTATATACCCACTCCTCAGTACTGACTCGAGTGGTGAGACTTGGTTTGGCCAAGTGCTTATGGGGAGAGAACAGCCCCTGGAAGAGGGCGGTGTTTCATTCTGTTGTGCCCAGGGTCACCATCGTCGGAGCTGACTTGAAGGCACCGCACAACCACCACCCTGTTTCAGATGAGTGGATCCTACAGTATTGTCTTTTCATGGCTACTTACATCCCTCAGCATCTTGTTTACAGGCCTCATTTATGTGGAGAGCTGTGACTCACATGATCTGATCTTTGGTCGTCGTCACGGCTCGTGGCAGCCCACACCGTCTTGCATGCTGTTGGCATGTTGGAGTCCAGGGTTTCAGCTTTGGGCCGCTCCACATCAGCAAGGTGTGTCTGATCTCACTGGTCCTCGGCACTGCCCCAGGGTGGCTGTGGGGCAGAATTGACTCGAGGGCAGGGAGTTTGTTTTTGTTTTGTTTGCTGCTTTCTCAAACATGATGTTCTTTTCTAGTGCTCTGTGTCCAAAGACAGTGAGCTGACTGAAGTCTCACCACCCCTGCTCCAAAGGAACATTCTGTTTGTCCTTCTTCCAAGACAGATTTGTTTGTTCTTCTGGCAGTCCATGCGATATTCAGTATTCTTCACCGATACCGCAATCCAAACATGTCAATTCTTCTGTCCTTTTTATTAGAAGATTAAAACAAATCTTTTCTTTTAGGACTTCTGGGTTTTCTTTCACACTGTTTTCTTTTCCTGCTGTGCTGGTGTGTCTCACTCCTTCCTAGTGTTCCTCACATTATACCAAGACATTGTTTTCATCTCTTATATTTCCTGTCTGTTTTGTGCATTTAAAAGGAGCCCTGGTGGCAGAGTGGTATGTGTTGGGCTACTGTCCTGAAGTTAACAGTCTGCAGTGACCAGCAATGCTTTGGGAGAGAGATGCAGCTTTCCACCCCCATTAGGAGTTAGAGTCTCCAAAACCCACAGGGCAGTCTACCCTCTGCTAGGTAGGGTCAGTCTGAGGCCAAATAGTCTCGATGGCAGGGGTTTGAGTTTGACTTGTGCATTTCAGCCTGGTGACCCCAGAAATGAGGCACAGCTAACCTCTTCTGGGTCTCAGTGGGACCCGTGTAACACCAGCGGTGGTAGTTTCTTGGCAAAAACATTTAGCTGTGCCTATAATTCTGAGGAAACCACTGGAGAAAAAAAAATTGGGGGACCCGCTAGCAACAGTGGCCCTAGACTTTAAAAATGCTTCTGTTGTAACCAACAACCACACCTGGGGAGCCTTTCCAGACTGAGCCATTGGCCCTCCAGACAACTGCCCATGAGGACCCTACGTGGGTCCGAACAGAGCCGTGCTCTGTGGGGCTCTCAACGGCTGAGCTTTCCGAAGCAGATCACCAGGCCTTTCTTCTGAAGCACCTCTGGGCAGACTCAGTCTTCCAAGCTGTTGGTTAGCCGCTGAGTGTGTTAGCCATTTGTACCGCTTTACAGACTAGAGGGTTACAAGCCGGGCTGCTAACTGCAGCAGTTTGAAACCATCTTTCAGGAGACAGATGAGACTTTCTGCTCCCCGAAAGAGTTAGAGTCTCGGAAACCCACAGCGCATCTCTACTCAGACCTCTGCTTGGAGTCGACTCGATGGCAGTGAGTTTGGGAGGGCTTTTGTTGTTGCTTTGAGGGACTCGCTCTAGACTAAAGGAGGGGACTGAGTGGGCAAGCAGACGCAATTGAGAGACTGGATTAAAAACCAGTAATGGCCAAATTGGGGGGATGGCGAGAATAAGGGCAGTTGGGGTATGGACTGAGTGTCATAGAATACCACTAGATGAATATGGAATTCTTTGAGGGTGATAATAGTATTGTGGTTGTGCTGGAGGATGCCCTTCTAGGATATATGGAAAGGTGTCCAGCCAAGGGAAGCACACATATCACACGCACACTCCCACAGACAGGTACAACACAGGTGTGAGCCATTGGCAGGATAGTTACATGTTCATGGTACTAGTCTTTCAACTTTTCTGTGGCCTTGAAATGTTTCACAATAGTAAAAATCAAAACAACAACCCAACACCAGCTCCCCCCACCCCACACACACACCCAAACACCTACGTCTCATTATCTCATCTGGAATTTATTTGGCACTTTGTCCCCCATCTGCCTGGATCTCCTGGGATGCTGCCCGGAATTTCCAGGTCTTTCTCGCTTTTATGGTATGTGTAGCCTTCAGCGTCCCTTCCTCTTAGCAACTTCTTTTTGAGTGAATTGTTAATTTGGGGGCTTGGAAATTTTGATGGACAAAATATGTTTCTGGCAGATGCATATGACTTTTATAGAAGCAGGTGAAAGCGTGAATCTTCTTCTGTGCATTATGGCCTCAATTATTATTTACATTGCTTTCTGTGGTCTAAGTAAACTTGCAGAGAAGTTTCATTCTAGCAGTTCTCAACCTGTGGGTCGCGACCCCTTTGGGGGTTGAACGACCCTTTCACAGGGGTCACCTGATTCATAACAGTATCAAAATGACAGTGAAGAAGTAGCAACAAAAATAATTTTATGGCTGGAGATGGGGTCACCACAACATGAACTATATTAAAGGGTTGTGGCATTAGGAAGGTTGGGAACCACTGTTCTATAGGCTTTAAAAGCAGTCTTTGACCTCAGGGCTACTGCATCATGAAACTAACATGTCATGTATTGTAACCTCTTGGCGTACCTCTCAGCTGAGAGTTTTTGCAAGAGGACAGCTCACAGGTCACTCTTGGGTACCTTGTGAGCCTGATAAAAGGCCTCCTGGGTTTCATTTTGTGCAAGACAGTCTTGGGTAAGTTGTCGGCCTGTAAAACCCACAGCCTGCTTACCGGGAGAGCTCCAAGAAGCCAATGTGGCGAGAAGTGTCTTCTCCTTCTCAGTGGTCTGGTGACTAGTGGTTTCATGGCTTTACGGATGGGAAATGTAGTTATAAACAAGCAAGTGATGGGGCTTCTGAACTCATCTATCGGGGTGTGCCTAATTCTGGGAGTTATGCCAGAATTGTGCCTGCACCCATTGGGGATGGGGACAGTCTCTTTCTTGGACCCCTTTGGCCTCCAAACCCATTCCCAGCAGCTCTTCTAGCATTTCCATTGTGGCCCTGCCTTCAGGAAAACTTTTGGGAGACTGTGTGGCACGGGGTGCAGTTGGAGGTGGGAGTTGGGGGTGGTGGGGATCCAGGGGATTTCTGCTGCATGTACCACACCACTTGCCCCTGAGTGGATCCCAATTCATGGTGACTGAGTAGGACTGCACTTGGTAGGGTTTTCCATGGCTGATTTTTTTGTCAGCAGATCACCAGGTCTTTCCTCGGAGGCACCTCTGGGTGGCCTCAAACCACTAACTTTTGTTTAGCAGCCAACCAGGCTCACCTCTGGGCTCCCCTAGGGGCTCTCCTGCTCTCTCAGGCCCTGTGTGTCTCCATTTTCTCAGATCTCGGGCATTCTTCTGCCTCCGGAGACCGTGCTTCCAGACGGGACAGTGGGCAAGACCTGCGAACCATTGTCAGGAGTGGTCATCCTGAGGCTGCTTCCTCCACCGAGTTAATTGAATCCACACGTGTGAGTCTGCACTTACCTTGAAGCCATTTTGATTATTAGCTTGTTGAGCATTTAAGGAGGAAGGAAACTGAGTCCTAAACACAGCCTCACGGAGGGAGGCTTCCTCCTTCCGTGGGTTATTTTTTTGTTGGGGGCAGGCTGACGCTGAGCTCCTGGGTTGCAGAGCAGAGCAGTTATCTAAACAGCCAAACAGGTTGGCTTGGAGCGACCCCTGGCAATTCGTAGCAGGGGTGGGATGTTTGCAAGCTGACCAGACACACCTATCCTTTTATTAGCATGTGCCTGTATGCTGTCGGTCTGGAAGAAAAAGGAGGCAGTGGCCCTAAAACTTTCTTTCTGAAGGACTTGATGTTGGAAGGGGAGTTTCTGGGTGGTGCAAATGGCTGAGTGCTGGTTACTAATAGAAAGGTTGACAGTGAGAATTGACCCAGAGGCACCTAGGAAGAAAGACCTGGTAATCGAATAAAAAAATATCAGCCATTGAAATCCCCCCCCCCCCCAGCATAGTTCCCTGACACACGTGGAGTTGCAACCAGTCTTGGTGGTATACGAAGGTCTTATTCGATTGGGAGCCTCATAGTGGGGTCCCGAGGAAGGCCATGCCCAGGACAGGGGGGTGACGGGAGGCAAGAAGCTGGCCTCTTGCCACCTCTCAGGGCAAGGCTGGGGACAGAGCCCTGGGCCTACTGGTGACCCAGTTGCTTCGATGACTTCAGCCTCACCACAGGAAGCTGGAGGCTTTCCCAGCCCTGGGATTCTGAGAGGATGCAGGGAACCTGGTTCAGGAAGCCTATTTATTTGAATCAATTGTAGGAAACTTCAGTGGGGGGAGAGCAGAGGGAGAGGTGGGGAGCCTGGGAGGGGCCGTGATTAGCTGGGCAGCCTCAGAGCACTGGCCCCCATGACAATGAGGGTGGCATAGGATTCTGAATCTAGGCCCCTAGCTCATGGGGGAAATGTAAATGGTTTCCTTCTGATAAATAACACAATCTGGCTTTATTTCTTCCTCTTTATAAAAGTTTGGATGACCCAGCCTAATCAGTCTTTTCAGTTGTGACTGCAAGATCGAGGGGCTATGGGAGCTGCAGGCGGCAGGGTTGTTGGTGGCGCGCCCACCGGTTGAAGTTCCCATTCTGGTCTCATTCTCTGGGGCTGACCCAGGCTCGGAAACCTGGCCAGGCCCTTGCCCGAGATGATTAGTTTTGGAATTGGTCCTGTTAGCCTTCAGCCCAGCCTCTAAAAAGAGTTGACCAGAAGTACAAATTGTTTTCCCTTTGGGGCCTCCAGAACCATGCCAGGGGCATCTCTGGTGGTACCCAAGTCCGGAGAAAAAAGGAGACTATCCACCTAATGTGTGTGGTTCAGACCTGCCCAGCTATACCTCTGAAGAAAAGCCTGCTTCCGGCAGGATCAGAGCCGGGGAAGCACTGCGGTGAGGTTCTACTCTGGACCACGTGGGCCCCTGGGAGTTGGGATCAACTCAGTGGCAATGGGTTTGGTGTTATTTTGATTTGCCACCAGCATACACATTGGTCTCTCTGTCTCTCCCTAGTTGTGGTGAGAATAGACACAAGGTGTTCCCCAATCCAGCCATCGCAGCACAGGGAACTCAGTGACATGGATGGGGTTTCCCGTGCTGTGCGCCCCTCATCATCCCATCACACTGGTGGCCTCGGGACAGCCTCGCTCTTCACGTCTCCAGTCAGGGTGCAAGTCCACCCAGCCCTCCCATCCACTTGGAAACAGACGAGGGCTCTGTATTCCACATGCCCCACCCCTCTGGAACAAGCCAGAGGCTGAAGGTCATGAGTCGGATTGAATTCGAGGAAAACCCACAGCGGGATTTTGTAGGCACGCTGGTTCCTGACTTCATGTTTCGGCCAGTTCTTGGCCAGCTTTCAGGGCTCCAGCTGTTCTCAGGGAGGGAAAGAAGAGTCTCTTTTTGAATCAGGTAGAAAGCCACCCTTCTTTCCTCTGGTCCTTGCTCCCCGGGTAGAGAGGGCACCTCTGCCCCGTTCTTAGCCCAGCTGTGAGCCTGCTGGTTCAGCCAGGACCTTTTTCAGCCTCAGCATACCCTTTCTGTTGGCAGGATTGTCTGTTGACCTGCAAGAGGCTTTCAGGGTAAGCTGCCAGGCCCCATCTCTGTCTTAGCCAGAAAAAGGTGGGTTTCATCCAAGTCAGGGCTTGGAAAGGCAGCCCCTTCTGGGTAACTTTTTCTACCAACCAGGCCAGAATCACAAGGATAAATACTGTTTTAAACCAGAAACTCATAAGTGGACGCCCACGCCAACCCTGTTATATAGACACTACATTTTGTATTAGAGCTTACATTCTGAGCACGAGGCTATAGTGAGATCCCTCCCTAAATCCATTTTGAGTCTCCACATAGGCTCAGCTTCCTTGCAGTTCTCGCTGACCCTTGACTCACGATGTAAAAAGCTTTGCCCTGAGGCCACGTGTGCTTGGAAGTAGATTGTCTCTAATCTTGCCCTCATGAACTAGCCTGGGTGGTTCCTGGGTGGACATTAGGGTACAATGGGGGCTAGATGGTGGAGACTGGGTTACCTGTTGTGCTACTCACCTCAAGGTCAGCAGTTTGAAACCATCAGCTGCTCTGAGGAAGAAAGACAAGGCTTGGAAACCCACAAAAGCAGCCCTACCCAGCCCTTCAGGGTCACTGTGAGTGCGAATTGCCTCCGTAGCAGTGGGTTCTGTTGCGTTTACCTAGGAATGGCCTTCTGGCTCCTCCCCTTCCCATCTTGGATCCCACCGGAGCCAGCCCTGTATTCCGCTCTTCTGGTGTCTTATCTCATCTTCATTCCCAGTTGGTCTTTGGTTGACAGTAATGTGGGGCCCTGGGCTTCTTTCTTGTTTCCTGTGCGGGAAACTGTCACCATCGGTTCAATTGTAGTGGCCCCCGCTGCCATCAGTGTCTGAGTCCGAGGGGCTCGTGGGATGGAGGGTAAGCGTGCATGGAGTACAGCCCAGGCTCTGTCACTTGTTTACCACACGGCCTTGGCCAGATGACTTAGCTTTTCTGAGCCTCAGTCTCCTCGGCTTGTTGAGAGATCTAGCATTTAGCGAGACGAGGTTCTGAAGACCAGGACCATGACTAACAAACACCCCCACCTGCCGCTTGGCAGACCCCTCAGCATCCACAAGTATCACTGGACAACACCACCTGACTCCGCAGGGCGCCCGAAGGAGCTTGAAGTCAGGTCTGAGTCTGGATTGACAACCTCACGGCAAGTTTCTCTCCCCAGCTCCTCCCCCTTGGAATGGGGCCGAGGCCTGCAAACTCACAGCCTGGCCACAGCCCTCATTAGGTGACCTGTTTGGCTCGAGTAGGCCGAGCAGGGTTTGGGAATGCTGAGTCTGGCCTCTCGATGGAGGAGGTGGAAGTATGGAATTTATTAATTAAGGCAGTTGCTCATGAGGCCTGAGAGCACGGGAGGTTCCCGCTTAATTACTGTGAGTGGCGCATGTGGCAGTTCTCCCTGGTGCCCCAGGTTTGATGATGCTGGAGGGCCACGTGGTGCACACCCCAGCAGGAGCTGGGTTTCAGGCTGCAGGGCCAGCCTGAGCCAGGTTTCCACTCCTGTACTTCCACTGGAGATCAATACAGCAGAGTGATCACGAGCCCGGAGACCTGGGTGTGAGTTCTCCTCTAGTAGGATTAGCTGATAGGTCACAGGCGAGTTAGGTGGTCTCTCAGCGCCTCCACATCCTCCTGTTGAAGCCTCACAGGGTTGTTGGCTAGGAAGATGGAAGTGATTTGGTATCCGTAAAAGGCTGAGAACAATGCCTGGCAAGTAGTATGGCAGACAAATTTGTGTACTGCTGCATTCAAGGAGTCCCAAGTGGTGCACATGGTTTGTGGCCTTGGCTGCTGATCGAAAGGGTGGAGGTTCGAGTCCACCAAGAGGCACTTTGCAAGAAAGGCCTGGCAATCTGCTTCTGAAGAGCCAACCATTGAAAACTCAGCGGAGCACAGCTCTGCTCAGACACCCCTGGGGTCACTATGAATCAGAGGCATCTTGATGGCAACTCATTTGGTTCTTTAAAGCAGTGCTCACTGGGGTGATTTTGACCACCGCTTCACCCCCACCTTCCCCTAGGGACCTTTGGCAACCGTTTCTGGAGACCTGGGTCATCACAGGTGTAGGTCTGGTGCCAAATTCCTGCCATGCACTGCACGGTCCCTGAAATAGCTTGGCTTCAAGTGTCCCTCCCTGGTGCCCAGCTCGAGGACCCCTGCTTTGAGCACCCCAAGTGACAGGGGTGGCCTGGTCAACATGGAAGTGGGGTCCTGTGCCACCCCAGCATCTCTTTGTCTTTAAGCCAGTTGGAGGCTGATGGATAAACTGGGAGGGAGAAAGGGAGGAAAGGAAGCTGCTGATATTTTGAACATTTGAATTCTTGTTCTTGTTGTTGTTACATGCCAATGAGTCTGTTCCGACCCATAGCAACCTCGTGTGGAACAGAACAAAACACTGCCAGGTCCCGTGCCATCCTCATAATTGTTCCTATACCTGAACCCGTTGTTGCAGCCATGGTGTCAATCCATCTCCCTGAGGGCCTTCCTCTTTTTGGCTGCCCCTCTACTTTACCAAGTGAGATAGTTTGTTGTGCCAGCCTGGCTGATAAACACAGGTGGGATTGACTGAAGGGCGGAGAGATAAATGCCTTGGTGAGCCTCACCTTTCTTGTCTCTCGCTCTTTGATCATCGGACCAGTGTGTGGCTGCCTTGCTTGTTCTGTGCCTCAATTTAAAGGCTACACTACCTGTGGGACACCTAGCCTGTGGACTGTGTCACTGTAAGTTGAGGTCCCTTTAAGATATCTCTGGAGCTGGGGACTGGCAGTTGGTGACCTGCCTTGTGATTGGCTGCTGTGCTGACATAGCCTAGCTCTCTCTACAAATAGAGGAAGATCTGGCAGCAGACTAGACTTGAAGGACTGCTAGTCTCTCAACTTTCTCTCACGGACGTGAGTTGCAC